TTCTGAACTGTATGTTTTCTTCTCAAGTAATAAATACTGGATGTAACCCATGCAGCTTTTCAATTCACAAGCCTACAAAAAGAAAATGGTATTATAAAATGTTGAAAATTATAGTTATTACATGGCTTTGTAAAGTCAAAAGATGGTATAGGACTGTGGCAGGGCATTGTTGGTGCCTGCCACTTTAAGGACTCAGCCAACCAGCCAGCAGGTGCTTGATTGCAGTAGCCATTTTAGATCCCTGGCCACCTATATAAACAAAGCAGTAACATTGCCTGGCTGCAAGGCTGCTTGGAACACCTGGAGGTAAGGGAGGATCTGTAGGGGATAGCTTGGAGACTCCTGGTCCTGGGCATGACCTAAAACTGCACCCTGTCAGGAGTGGGTGGCCTGGCTCTCAGTGCCACAGGAGCCCCCAGGAAATGCCAGGCCAGTTACCACCCTGGTGAAAGGTGGGTAAGGGCACCTTAATAACCCCAGCTCCCACAACCAGGTGGGTTACCCCCCATAGGGTCTGGAAGGTAGACCCCGGAGAGACAGTGGAGCTATAGACTCAGAACCTGTCTTGAACTCCCCTGACTGGTCAATGCTGGGGCTAGGACCAGAAGGGTCAAAGGGCCAGGGGCCCACCATGAGGGATGTCCAGAGTTGAGGGCCTGGGGTTCCAACTGGCCTGGAGGTGAGGCCAGAGCCAGTGTAGCCAAAGGTCCCGGAGGACCACACCCGTAAGGGGGAACCGCTCAGGAGCTATGTAGCCTAGAAAGAAGGCAGAGTAGGCTGCCTGATTGGAGGGATCCAGGTGGGATTCAAACTGGAGGATTCTGGGGCCCAGAGTGGGGCCAGTGAGATTAACATCAGTGGATGCCATTTGTGAGGCTTGGGCTGTGGTGTAGGGGAGGAACGGAGCCACAGATAGCGCCTCCTGGCATCAGGGAAGAAATGGGCAGCATCCCGCCTAATTAACGATTTAATTAGTTAACAACAAGGTGTGGCAGGCGAGAAGGTGGGCGGGTAACCCATAACAGGTGGGTGGGGCATTGATAGATTGGCTCCGAAGAAGGCCCCGTGTTACAAGGACCTTGCACATAGTGGCTGTGTAGGTACATAGTTGGCATGTGATGATGCAGTCTGGGACATGAGTTGGTAATGCAGCCCCTGCACATGATAACCTCATCAGTACAGAGCTGGCAGGTTTATGAGACACTCTCAGACACTGATTTTCACATATGGTGTATAATTTCTGGGATGGGGAATATTTAAGGATGTTAAACAGTTTTTGAGTCTATGGTGTAAGTCAGAGGAGTAGGAAAATTCAGTTCATCCACTTAGTTTTGCTTCCAGTGGGTGGTCTCAGCCAACTGTCTTCATATTGGCAATGGTCCATGGTGTACTCAACAAATGTCTCAAATACCATGAAGCACCTCATCAGTTTTGAGTAGTGGTGGGTTACTCTGCAGGCTCACAAGGTGCTCTCATTGCCCAGGTCCCATGCTCCAAGTGCCCCAATGATCAGCACCTACACCATTGTATCATACCCCATACACTTATTTTAACCAGAATATTTAATTGAATTAAAATGCCATAGATAAAGGAGATTAATTACCTCTCATAATGGGAAATAACTTGAATACTACAGGCTTCAAAGAGAACTGTAGAGCTTGGGTAATTGAGCATCCTCAAAAGCTAATTATGGCCTTTCACCTGTTTCCCTGCTATGTTTAACCTGTCAGAATAATGGTTCTTAGATAAATATGTATTTGAGCAACAAAACACAGGTACAATGGTCTGTGCTTTTCTAAGAGAGAATGGCATGCTTCAGGTGTCACTGGAGGTTAAATGAGTGTAGGCAGCCAAGAAAGGCCATAACTACCCTACCCAAGAGGAATGTCTAATTGTTGCTGTGCAAAAACCTGATATGAAGGATATATAATCAAGGAAAACAGTAAGAAAACTCTGTTTATTAGACTATTAGTATCATAAGTATGAAGTCATTACCAACCAGTGGAACAACCCAACTGTGCTGAAAATACTAAGCCAGTTTATGTTGGTTTACTATATGCCACCGAAGTGTAGTTATGTAAATTGCTTTTACTGTAATAATATACATCTTCATTAAGTTTTATATTTAATTAATAACTGTGCAATTACATTATTTTACAGATAAACCATGCAGTTGTAGAGAATGTATATACTCAGGTCTAAGGCCAAGCAATTTTATTCCAAAATAGAAATTGGATCATTAGCACATTAAAATAAGGCAGTGAGTTCCATTAGATGTACCATAAGGCAGGTGTTGTGGGGTTGCTACCTTTTTTTTTAAAGCCAACAGGTTTTGGGGGGGCAGGGGGGTTGGGAGATTTTGTTTGTTTCTTCTTGGACAAACAGAAGAGAAGTAGTGAAGAAGGATACAGGTACTGTCTGATTCTGGTGAGTAAGAATTTAAATTTGAGATATCATGTAGATTACAGCCATTCCTATTTCAAATGGATTTAATTTAATTTAATATCCTGGGTGCTGAATACTTTTTAGCAGCCTTGTCAAAGAAACTGGTTGAAACATCCATAAACATCACATCACTTTTAGCAGAAAGAGATATGGAAGATGACTGTAAGCTAACCAATATCATAGAATCATAGAATCAATGAGTCGGAAGGAACCTAGACAGATCATCTAGTCCGACCCCCTGCCATGGGCAGGAAGGAGCACTGGGAGTGGCAGGGGTCATAAGACCCCAGCCAGATGCCTATCCAGTCTCCTCTTGAAGATTTCCAGGGAAGGTGAGAGCACCACCTCTCTGGGAAGCCTATTCCAGGCTCTGGCCACCCTTACAGTGAAGTAGTTCTTCCTAATATCTAACCTAAACCTATCCTCCCTCAGCTTGTGGCCATTGTTCCTGGTGACTCCAAGGGGGGCCCTGGTGAACAGA